AGCTGAAACGGGAGATTTGGGTTACATCTAAGGCAGAAGCTGTTCCCTGTGAGGGTGCTGAGGCGCTGGCACAGGGTTCCCAGAGAAGCTGTGGCTGCCCCATCCCTGGCAATGTTCAAGGCCAGGTTGGACACAGGGGCTTGGAGCAACCTGCTTTAGTGGAAGGTGTCCCTGCCCGTGGCAGGGGCTTGGAACTGGATGAGCTTTATGGTCTCTTTCAACGCAAACCAGTCTGGGACTTTCTGATCTGTGGAAGAGATGGAGTGTAAGTTATAAGGGTGCAGCTTCTGATACAGGTTTTGAGCCTACCTTGATTTAGTTTTGAGGTAAAAAGATAGCAGCCCTTGTACCTATGATATTGTCTATCTGTCCACTACAAAAAGTGCTCAGAGCAAAAAATTAAAAATAAGAGAAGAATAAGAGGACGCCTGTTAGATGGCAAGTTTAATAGCAGCTGTGACAGTTTATGCCAGTTCTGGATCTGCCACCATACCTTGTTAGAGGAGCTTTACCTTCTAGTGGGTTGAAATTTGTAAGGATTATTTTTGCTTGTCAACTTTAAACCCAGATAAAAAGATGCAAAATGACTGAAATTATTGGCTTTGTGTTTGACAGTCCTTTAAAAAAAAAACAATTATATAAAGAGAGAAAAGTTGTAGTCCAGGATTAGATCCAAGAATAACGTGTGTCTTTATTCACAGCTTAAAAGATGAGATCACATCTGAGAAACTGTTTGGGGTGAAATTGTGGATTACGGCAGGCCCAAGAGAAAAGTTCAGTGCTGCTGAGGTAAGAAGTCAGTAGTTGTCTGCAAATTAAGTGCGTTTTAAGATTTGCTTAATGCAAAATAGAAAAGAACAGCCCAGAAGAATTTGCAGTGTACTGCTTTAAATGAATTTACACCAATTGAAATGTGAATTTGTCATAGGATAAGTTAATTGCAAGTGGTCAGAATCATTTACCTTCCCTCTTCTCCATATAACTTCCTGCAGTTTTGTGTGTACCTTTTCACATGTTTCTTTCTTTGGTGTTTTTCAGTTCTCTGTTCTGAAAAAATTCCTGGAGGATGGTGGAGCCATCCTGGTGATGCTGAGAGAAGGTGGAGAGTCCCGATATGGCACAAATATTAACTTTTTGTTAGAAGAGTATGGGATCGTTTTTAATAATGGTAATGGGGCTCACTGATATTCATCTGTCCTCAGCAAAATCTACAGAGCAGGTTTAGCTGCTGTAGGTGTAAGCCAAGCACATCCCGCTCACAAAGTACTCTGTGGTCTAAGAGATGTTTTTTTCTTGGAATCTAGATGTACCTGGCAGTGTAATCTGCAGCACACCAAGGGCTTTCCATGGGCAGAATACCTTAATAACATAGCCATCTCCCTTCCTTTGCTCTAGTTGTAGACTTAATGGTATTTACTAAGAAAAATTAATTCTAGTGACATTTCTTGGTTAAAAAGCCTTTCATTTCAAATATTTTTTTCATGTGTTTTATTGGATTGAATCACTCACACTGAATGAACAGTGGTCCTTTTCTTTAGCAGACCAATGAAATGACACTCACTAGTTTTTCCACTGCCAATGTGGAAAAATACCCAAACAAAACAACTGTGTCTCAGTGTACATAAAATATTTCCAGGGTCTTTAGTGGCATTTCTAGATTATGCCTTTTTTTGCATCAACAGTGTTTGATTCATCATGCTTTTGGAAGACGTATAAAAAAAGAATGAACTTGGAATCATAGAGTGGTTTGGGTTGGAAGGGACCTTTAAGATCATCTAGTTCCAGCACCCTGCCACTTGTGAAACTTAATACTCTTTTAACTGGATCCTTCTGCCTCTTGTGCTTTGCAGAAGACTTGGTAGATGTGCTTATTTTTCATATTTTTATTTGAACTTGCAAATACATTCTTGTTCTAAATCTGTATGTCCAAAAGGAAACAGTAGTGAAGGCTGATTTGGGTCCTTTCGGGTGCTGTATGTCAACTTCCTGATGTTAGAAGCAAACACTCAGGCAATCCAACAGCTAAACTCATTTTTCATTGCTGTATCTATCATAACACTGATTAGCTAAGATGTAAATTTCTTTATTATTTTCTTTTTTCAAGATGCTGTAGTACGAAATGTTTATTACAAGTACCACCACCCAAAAGAAGCGCTAATCTCTGATGGAGTTTTGAATAGGTAAATATTTGGGGTATGTAAGTCTTTAAACTCATACAATCCATATTGTTTTCAGTAAGTTTTGCTTTTCACCGTCTTGTAGGGGAATCAGCGAAGCTGCAAGAAAAACGGTGCTTGAGACAACAGATGAAGATGGAAGTGGATGTGACTCACAGTAAGTGTTTTCCCTTGAGGAAGCTGGTGTGAAGATACTGTGAATAACTCAGAATTAGACAGTTTGTAACCTAGCAGGAGTATATTGTGCTTGTGTTGAGGTTTTGTAATGTATTTCTCTGTCAGCTTCTTGCTCCTAAAGGTTATATTTGGAAAGGAGAATCTGTTTAGTAGTGCTCGATAACCAGCGAAGGAGCAAGAATGATAGATTTTGAAGGGAATTATTACTCTCCCAACCTGATCTTTTTACCCTATTCTGTGGATTTGAGTTTGATTAAACAATGTAAATATGAGTAACCTCTCAATAGGGAGTGGTCTGGCTACAGGCTTGAGCAGCCCTACATGTTCTTAAAGAGTCTTAAGTCAGGGTAAGATAAACATTTCTTGCAGTTTCTAACTTTCCATCCTTTTGTGCTACAAAGGAGAGAAAAGGCATTGAGAAGAATACAGCTTTTCTGTAACTATGAATGTTTGTATTCTTCCTTGGTAGCTGTTTCCTAAACTAATAAATGACCATGTGGTTGATTACAAGGAAAAATGTAAAACCATTTCAGGCTGTTTTTTGAGGGGGTTTTTTGGTTGGTTTTTTTTTTTTTTGGTTTGGGGTTTTTTTGGGGTGTTTTTTTTTGGTTGGTTTTTTTTTGTTTGTTTTTTTGTTTGTTTGTTTTTTTGTTGTTGTTTGGGTTTTTTTTTTTTATTTTATTCCAGAATGATAATTCATCTGTGAGTTAAATACCCCTCAGGTATAAGAGTGTACTTTGTTCCTTGTTTAAGACAAATCATCAACCTGGAAAAACCTGTAGAAGGACACTGAAATGTCATTATAATGATGTAATTCTTGGAAGGCATTGGCATTCCAGCACCAGCCTACAGTTACAGTGTGTACTTCAGGCAGACAGACTGAGTTTTGTGCCTACCTGATCCATGCAGGTACTTACAGAGTTCCTGTATTTTCTGCAGAGCTCTCACTTTTGTGTATCCATTTGGTGCCACACTGAATGTGATGAAGCCAGCAGTGGCTATTCTGTCAACAGGATCTGTCTGCTTCCCACTCAACAGGCCTATTCTTGCTTTCTATCAGCATGAGGTATGATTCTGCATGTAACAAACCATGCATTCTCCTACCCCCCACAGAAATCGTGAGTGTATTTTCTGGCAGTACTTACAGACCCAGTTCTTGCTGGCTGAACATGAGCAGCTTATGCCCAAGTAGCCAAGAAGCTATCAGCATCCTGGCCTGTATCAGCACCAGTGTGGCAGCAGGGCCAGGGCAGTGACTGTCCCCCTGCACTGGGCACTGGTGAGGCTGCACCTCGAACCCTGTGTTCACTTCTGGGCCCCTCACTGCAAGAGAGACATTGAGGTGCTGGAGCGGGGCCAGAGAAGGGCACCGGAGCTGGTGCAGGGCCTGGAGCACAAGTGTGATGGGGAAGGGCTGAGGGACCTGGGGGGTTTAGTGTGGAGAAGAGAAGGCTCAGGGGGGACCTTATCGCTCTCTACAACTGCCTGACAGGAGGATGGAGCCAGGAGGGGGCTGGTCTCTGCTCCCA